GAGGCCACTCAGTGCGTTGTGGTCCGGTGCAGCGCCTATTCGATGTCCTTGCGGCGTTATTCTAGAAATGGGTGATGAGTGTACACAGCGGGGTGTGGGTGTCTGTGACTGCGTACAATATGACAAACCCGTCTCACTACCTCGTTGGTCTAGTGGTCGTCAACGCGACTGGTGATCAAGGGGGTCCTGGGTACGAATCCTGGGTGGGGCTATAAAAAATTCGGTTATTGAGTTTTACTGTCAAGAAATTCTCAGTAGCTGCCCGGAGTCAGCAATTTGGCGATGTTTCACCAACCAAAGCACGTAAAGCCGTTAGTTCTGCGCCTGATCTGTCTCATGTCGGTTTACCGTACCGTTTACCTAGTGATTAAATAGAGAATAATGTGCTTGCGTATATATTTGTGCACTATAATCCTGTCTTGCGCATATGGCTAGTCGTTGTTTAGGCAGAGCGCCGTGATCAAATTCGGTATGGAGTACATTATTATTATAACACAGGGCATAAAGTCAACGTCGCCAACAGCGAGTTCACTCGATCTATGAGAAAAACAACTCCAAATGTGGTCTATGTCAATACCAAGGTCATAACATCGTGGACGTCAAATTCAAGGTTACAGACGTATAAGCCACGCAACGCAACGGACATTTCTAAGAAACATCGTCTATGATCTGTGTTTCCGTTGCCTAACGCTTCAGAATGAAGCAATACAATGTTATTTAATTCAATTAAACTAATTTATAGTTCCAAAAAACTTTAAACCCTCTCAGAAATGAAAGGAGGCCTGTGCCCAGATGTGGGACATATATAGGCTGTAACTTTAACTAAACTTTACACTTCCTAAAATATATATATATAATAGGTGTAGTAGTAAAAAAAATACGTAAGATTGGTTTATATAGGTAGCATTTAAAGGAGACTGATACGTTTTCATACATTCTTGAGCCCAGATTGTAAAAAGATGAAAATGTCAATTAATAGCATATAATATATTATCAAAACTTCACTGAAAATTCTGCGGGTTTGGCAATCTGGGAGCAGAATTATAACAGATTTAGTAAAAGTGAAGTTATGCAACAAGTTGGCAACAACCTATACTAAACAGCTGATTTTTGAAGTGCGATTGCTATTTTGCAAGGATCGTGGGCTTAGTGTATTACAGCGACTAGTCGCTGTGCCACAATTCACATAGCGATCCATTGAGTCAATATCGAATCGATAAAATCCAGGGCGTAAAACTCACAATAACGAGCCAAAGTCAAACGAGTAAACAAGATTATCGGTGTTCGGTATGTTAGCAAGGATTGTACAAGTTAAGTAAGATCAGAAGTCCGTAGAAAGAAAGCAGTGGTCGTGCAATATAAATCAATAAAACAAACACTTAGGCCGGCCACATACATACGGAATTCCGTTTCGGGATTCCGTTTCGAAATTCCGCACGGGTCGGCCACACACATACGGAGTCCCGTTTTGCCCGTAAAATTTCGAACGAGAAACCATTGTACGTGTGTGACGGGTCATATATTTTATATGAACTTGCTGCGTTCGGAATCTCGAATCGGAATATCGAAACGGAATTCCGTATGTATGTGGCGGGCCTTAAAACACACGTGCTAAACGATACGAGACGTGTAACCATAGATTGAGTTATGCAGGACCTGTCCTGTCACTAACCCCCCGTTTACAATCTCGCGCGAGCGGCGAGGCGAGTCGCGAGGCGAGCCACGAAGTGCAAGTGTAAATGCTAGCTCGTGGCTCACCTCGCAGCTCACCTCGCCACTCGCGGCTCTCACGTCGGAGGCGGTTTTTTGGGCACGAGGTAAAGGGCCTCGCGAGGGACGCGAGCGTGGTGTTTATACTCGCGCTCTCGTTTCAGTTTGTTTATGGCGCCCTTCCATAATAACATTCGAATTGCTTTTGTTTTAAAATTACAATTTTAATAAAATAATATTATTTAATCTTGCACTATAGGTACTAGCAATTTATATAAAATTATGAAACTGAAAAGGTTCTGCTTAGATGAATAGATATTATCCACCATATTCTTTCTCAACGAAGTATTTTTTTTAATTTCCTTCTTTTTAAAATGGTCCAGTATCGATAAATACTTATTAATGCAAGAGTTGATGCCGCTATTATTTCGACATTTTTCATCGTTGCTGGCTCAACGCAAACTGAACGCATCGCGAGAGTGTAAACAGGCACTCGTTACCTCGCAACTACGAACCGCGAGCTGCGAGGCGAGGTACGAGGCGAGGCGCGAGGCGATAGTCTAAACCCGGTAAAACAGCACAGATTAAAATACAGTTGACAAACACAAATAATAAATCGAACTGTAAAAGTGAATCGATTTTAAGATTTATTTTTATCATGTTGATCTTTTATTTCTTAAACTATTGACACTATGTTAATATATTGTAATGTATCTATTTACTTTGATTGAATCAATCATCTGATGTAAGTTGTTTTTATGTTTAATTGTTAAAACTCACATTAATCGATTAAGGGAATCGATTTCCTATTTTATTCGTGACATAAACTTATTTTCAAGATTTTTCGTCTTCCAGATTGTGGATCGGGCAAATATTTTATATTTTGAAATAGAAAAATATAACGCTTTTTTAAATTATATTTTAACTTATTACAATTGTGCCCAAAAATCCCCGTTTCCTTTTAGCTAAAACTAAATACGTTACTAGATTTCGTGTTATGTATTTCCTCTTGCCCTGTGGCCCAAATTTTGTTGAAACCTTTCTTTGGTCATGTTAATGAGAAATGAGAACGTTAATATAGTTTAGGGATAATTCTCATGAATGGTCATATTCGTTTTGATGTTTATATTACGCATTTATTTGTTCCCCGTGTAGTGGCGGGTAAGAATACTCACTACCCCATATCTTCCCGTGGGTGTCGTAAAAGGCGACAGAGGGAAACTGAGGCAGAGGATGGGCAGCAGCATCTTTCTGATCTTGAACAGCAAAATAACAATAAAAAAACTGCGATGGCTAACCCGCTCGCCAAGCGTGGCAACTATGGCAATATGGGGTATATTGCCATAGTTGCCACGATAAAAGTTACAAAAAAACGAACCCCAGTCCTCGGCGGCCCCGCTATTGCTGGCTACGGTGGCGAGCATGGTAACGTCGGGGCAGGCGGTGCTAAGAATCTTCGGTGGAGGTGCGGTTGCCACCTACGACGACTCGACCTGGCAACTTAAAACGCACGCACCCTGAGGAATGACGAGAAGATCCTGGAGCTGGAAGAAGAGATAGACAAGTTGCCCTGAAATATCATAGGATTATCCGAGGTCCGAAGAGAGGGGGAGGACACGGTAATCCTCGAATCCGGCAACTTGTTCTATCACCGGGAGGGCGAACATCTGTCCAAAGGAGGTGTTGGATTTATTGTCCACAAGTCTCTCGTTAACAACGTTGTAAACATTGGGAGTGTGTCGACGAGGATTGTGTACCTTATACTCGAGATTAGAATTGCTCTCCAGCACCTTAAAAACGGCAAGGCCCCAAGCGAGGATCGAATTACAGCGGAGCTTCTGAAAGCGGGGGGAAAACCGGTACTTGAAGTCCTTCAGAAGCTCTTTGATTCCGTCCTCAATGGTGGCGTTACACCGGAGGCGTGGAGTAGAAGTGCGGTGGTCTTGTTCTTCAAGAAAGGCGACAACGCTCTCTTGAAGAACTACAGACCGATTTCCCTTCTGAGCCGCGTCTACGTGCTGTTTCCGAGAGTTATTACGAATCGTCTCGCGCGCAGACTTGACGACTTCCAGCTTCCCGAACAAGCCGGTTTCTGAAAAGGCTTTAGTACCATAGACCACATACATACCCTTCGGCAAATTGTACAGAAGTCCGAGGAGTACAATTTGCCACTATGTCTGGCGTATGTGGACTATGAGAAAGCCTTTGATTCCGTCGAAATTTGGGCGGTGCTGCAGTCCCTTCAGCGATGCCAAGTTGACTGTCGGTATATCGAAGTGCTGAAGTGTTTGTACAGTAGGGCTACGATGGCTATCCGAGTACAGAACCAGAGTACGAAACCTGTCCAATTGCAGAGAGGTGTAAGACAGGGTGACGTTATATCCCCGAAACTCTTCACCGCTGCATTGGAAGACGTTTCCAAGCTTCTGGACTGGAAAGGATACGGTATTAACATCAATGGCGAGTACATCACTCACCTTCGATTTGCCGACGATATAGTCCTTATGGCAGAATCGCTGGAGGACCTAAGCACTATGCTCAATCACCTTAATACTGTTTCCGAACGGATAGGTCTTAATATGAATATATAGAAATTTTGTTTTTCATATTTCACTTCCATTAGCGGAATTCTTGTAGTTTCATGTTTCTAGTTTTTTTTCTCTTTAGCAGCCGAAGAATTTTTGTCTTATTTCACGCTTGACAGCCGGATTGATGATCTCAGTGCCAGACGTCTCGCACCTTTGTCGCTGCTGCCCGTCGCTGGTCTGGATATTTTATGTCTGATGTAAACGAAATGGTTAAACCGCCATCTATCGGAAGCTTTTAGATATTTCTGGCATTTTCCATAGTAGACAGACAGCATGATATTGGGTAGCGGATTCTCTTAATCCGCCACTACACGACCATCATTGGAACGAAGTTCCTTATCGGACGGTACATATTTGGCGGATGGGAGCTAGGCGACAAAAAGTGAAAGATTTTATCGTCACTACCCCTTGTGTCAAAGTGTAGACGGCCTTGGAGGCGAAATAAGGAAGTGAGATGGAATAATATGCATCTCCCTCGCACTTTTTCTTATCTTGCCATGAAAGAAATATTATTTTATTTAAACGACGCTTCATTTTAATAGACGCTAGTACTTAATTCATTTATTTGTATTTGTTAATCAATAATATAATACTTACGTTTTTCAATAATATTATACTACGCAAGGAACTTCGTTCCAACCGAGTGTTCCACGACATTTTTTTTCAGTATTTTATTATTAGGTAATGTAGATTTATTTTCAGCTATCTAGAGATTTACAACGAGCGAGTACACGATTTGCTCGCTGGCGAGGCGGTGCCGGCTCTCGATACCTTCAGCTCTTTACCAAGGCGCAAGGGCAACGCTCGCAAAGATCTGCGTGTGAGAGAACATCCTTCTAGTGGGCCATATGTGCAAAGTAAGTTGTTTTCTGGTGTTTGATTCGAGAGATTGAATCAGCAGTGATCCAACATATACATGCTTGCTTTGTTTCTTTGCAAAAGAATTAAGTGGAGGTGTAGGTATAGAACGGACCGCCAAACTTAAGCATAAGGCCCGCCACATACACACGGAATTCTGTTTCGGGATTCCGTTTCGGAATTCTGAACGGGTCGGCCACACACATACGGAATCCCGATTTGCCCTCAAAATTTCGAACGCAATACTACGATACGTGTGTGACGGGTCATAGACTTTATATGGACTTGCTGCGCTCGAAATCCCGAATTGGAATTCCGAATGTAGTATAATCGTAAAAGTATGTATGTGGCTGGCCTAAAAAGAGTTCTACAACCTCATAATATAAAAGTCAATGTACAACCTAGTAAAATTTGATTATAATAGAAGATATCGTCGTGGCCGATATCACCTAAAGAGGTATCATTATGAGGTCGTGTAATATGTCATAAAACCACGTAATTTAGTGGACAGTGTATGTATCATACTAATCGGTCAGCCTGAATTAAAGTTGCAGGCATTTTTTTTTTTAATTCTATCGACCTCAGTTATAATAAGAAACGAGTTAATCAACCCGATGGTAAGTGGCTACTCAACCAGCGTTGTGAGAAATGCGACGTAATTTCTCACATTCCGTAATTAAATTGGTTCTCCTACATAGAAACAGGTAAGAGAGTGACCCAAATGGATTCGAAGTGAGTCGAATATATCTGCAATATCTAGAATTAGCAGTTGTAGAGTGTTCGAGAATTTTAAGCGGCAGTTTTTCTCAGCGATTCCGGGTTTTCTGCCTAAAGACAGAATTAGAGATGATGAGAATTTATACTTATTAAACTGACCTGAAATGAACTATCGAAATAAAAGTACTTCTTTATTACTGTATTTAATATTATAAAAACAGATCTACGTCGCGTGTCTGTACGCGATGTGGAGGCTCTGCTGTCTATAGTGGAGGAGGGCACACGTCGTCGCCGCACAGCTACCACCCGGCGCAACCCGGCATCGTCCCGCTCACACGCCCTACTGGAGCTGTGCACTACACGGTGTACACTTCATCTCGCCGATTTAGCTGGAAGGTAATATTTTATTTAACTTTGGCATAGTTTCAACTTCTAAAGAATCTATCGCTGGTTCAAAAAAATGGGAGTTATAGCTTGGAGTAAATATAATTTTTGTTATTTATCTACATTGCTATATACAGCCCTATATTCTACGTGGTATAGAGATGCTGCAGCTATATTAATAGTATAGTTATAGCACGTATGGGTTGGCTCGACCGGGGAAGGACCACGCTCTCATAGAATATCAGCGTAAAATAGCAGCTTAACGCTGCTGTGTTTTCTATGGTGAGTGTAGTGAACCGGAGATCCTTTTTACTGGAAACGAGGCATTCCATCTTAGTCCTCACGGGTGACAACGCATTTGCATTTTAATTCGCAAACGATGATAGATGTAGACGTCTATGGGCCACAGCAATTACTTACCATCAGGTGGACGGTGTGCTCGTTTATTCTATAAAAAAATATTTTGCTACACCTCCACGTCATTTCTCACCCCTCCATGGGTGGACTGGTAGACAACGCCTAAAGACATTAAGTCCGCCCTTTGTATTATTTTGTAACAGGGAAAGCAATAAATAATAAATAGATAAATGAATATATAAATATAAATGAATACCTTATAAGTATTTATGTAATATTACAAATTCTATTTTATAAAAACTACGAAATGGGATAGTGAATATTTTTACACCGCCACTCATCGATCGCTAATAAAAAAAAAAACTAGATAGACAATCAGTGACCAAAATGTCCTTACCGAATGAGCGCCCACTCGAACATTTGGGTGCGCTTTTAATTTGTACGTAGCTTTGTGAATACAACTTTAGACAATGCGTTTAAGGTTGAATTTACATTAATGTATATTTATTTCAACTAGAATTACGTTAAAACAATTGGCGACTGTTTTTAGAGTACTTTTGAATGGGATTGTGTATCTAGTTTTTTTTTATTTGTGATCGATGCCGCCACTACACGGTTACTAATGTTTATACTACTATTTATAATTATCGTTCATTTTTGTCTTTTTTTTTCTTTTGGCTACATGGCTTCAAAATCACAAAACAAAACACAATATGAACGAGATGAGAAAATGAATTCTCTTACACTTTTCTTCAAATACTTATTTTATTAAGAAGACATCTAGTGGAGGTAATGTTTCAAAAAAGAGTTAGGGGATCCTTGTCCACCTACCACGTGGTAGAGCCATGCTGCAGCTATATTAGTAGTATAGTTGCAGCACTAATGGGTCGGATCGACCGGGGAAGGAATACCAGCGTAAAATAGCAGCTTAACGCTGCTGTGTTTTCTATGGTGAGTGTAGTGAACCGGAGATCCTTTTTACTGGAAACGAGGCATTCTATAGTCCTCACGGGTGACAACGCATTTGCATTTTGATTCGTAATCGAAGATGTAGATGTCTAAGGGCAACAACAACCACTTACCATCAGGTGGACTGTGTGCACTTTCATCACCCTTATTATATATTTAAAAAAAAGCTATTTGTTGTCTGGGGTGCGTTTCAAAGGGGACATACCCTGTTGAGCATTGCTAGACAGTGTTAATATTTATTCCCTTGTGGAGTTGGAGATACGAATTTTCCAGGCTGAGCGACTTGATTTTCTAAGGGGGCCTCTTACCTTGACATTTTTAATTTTTTTAACCTAATTTAATACCTTTGAAAAAATAAAAATCAATTAAAAACGAATTTCAAATCATGTGCACCCTACTTTATTAATGAATTTGTCACACCTTAGACATTGAAAAGTCCGCTAGATAAAAAATTTACTTTCTTTTAATGCTATAATTTTTTTTAATGTCCTTTTACACCCTATTTTTTCATCAAGGTAAAAAAGTCACTTGGTACGTTTTTGTTCATTTCATTTTATTGATAAACAAAGTAAAATAAAATAAAATAAAATAAAGAAATTGTGCAATTGGATCACCAGCTTTCTTGCAGATCGGAGCATCAAGGTCGTTGTAGACGGTGCATGTTCTGACTACAAGCCTATTAACGCTGGTGTTCCACAAGGCTGTGTGCTATCACCAACGCTGTTTCTTCTGCATATCAATGATATGTTGCTAACTGGTAACATTCATTGCTATGCGGATGACAGCACTGGTGATGCTCTATACACCGGCCGGGCCAATATTTCTCGGGAAAACGTCGCCGAGTACCGGAACAAACTTGTGTCTGAAGTCGAGTCTTTGCTGGACAAAGTCTCGGATTGGGGGCGACTAAATCTAGTCCAGTTTAATCCTCAGAAGACACAAGTTTGCGCGTTTACCGCTAAAAAGAACCCCTTTGTCGTATCTCCTCAGTTTCAAGGCACTCCCCTTCTTGCCTCAGCCAGTATCGGTATCCTCGGAGTCGACATATCGAGTGACGTGCAGTTTCGTGGTCACTTGGAAGAGAAGGCCAAATTGGCCTCTAAAAAGCTTGGCGTGCTCAGCAGAGCGGGACAGTATTTCATGCCGGCACACCGCCTGCAACTTTACAAGGCGCAGGTTCGGCCTCACATGGAATACTGTTCCCATCTCTGGGCAGGGGCTCCCCAGTGCCAGCTCCTTCCACTTGACCGTATCCAGCGCAGAGCGGCTCGAATCGTCGACAACCGAGCCCTTTCCGATCGGCTCGATTCATTGGCACTGCGAAGAGATGTTGCATCTCTTTGCATTTTCTTTCGCATCTACCATGGGGAGTGCTCTGAGGAATTGTTCGGATTAATCCCAGCCGCCAAATTTCACGAACGCACATCGCGGCAGAACTCCCGATACCATCCACACCATCTGGATGATTGGCGGTCCACCACTGTGCGATTTAGAAGATGTTTTCTTCCTCGCACAACTTCCTTGTGGAATAGTTTACCACCAGGGATTTTTCCGGACCGATACGACTTAGGGACCTTCAAGAAAAGAGCCTACTCCTTTTTAAAAGGCCGGCAACGCATCTGCAATTCCCCTGGTGTTGCGGTTGTTCATGGGCGGCGGTAGTCACTTGCCATCAGGTGAGCCGCATGCTCGTTTGCCCCCTCTCCTATAAAAAAAAAAAAATATACTCAAAGATTGACGTACAAAAAACTGACATTGTAAGAATAAGATACACAGTAAAAACTTATTTCTACAGTGAAAAGGCAAGTTGGGAGGGTTGTGGCGGAGGAAGACAGAAAGAAGGCGCAAACATCAACAAGTCACTAGTGGCGCTTAGTAACGTTATTTCAGCATTGGGTAAGTGAATAATGAAAATGCATGTTTAACATTAGTAAAATATTGGTAATGCCTTATAGGAAATTTAAAATGATTAAATTACATAATAAATATCAATGTTTTGTTAATTCAACTCAATTAAAATGTGATGAGAGAGTGAGGGAGATTTTTTTTTATAGGATAAGGGTGACAAACGAGCACACAGTCCATCTGATGGTAAGTGGTTGCTGCGGTCCATAGACATCTACATCTATCTTCGATTACGAATCAAAATGCAGATGCGTTGTCACCCGTGAGGACTAAGATGGAATGCCTCATTTCCAGTAAAAAGGGTCTCCGGTTCACTACACTCACCATACGAAACACAGCAGCGTTAAGATGCTATTTTACGCTGGTATTCTGTGAGAGCGTGGTCCTTCCCCGGTCGAGCCGACCCACTCGTGCTACAACCATAATATAGCTGCAGCATGGCTCTACCACGTATAATGTAGGTAAGATGTAGGGTAAAGTAGACGGGGCTTGCTTTGGAAGCTCTACATCTCTATAGAAAGTTTTAGTTTTGATTTTATGCAAGTAGGTACTTAATTTGTTTTCGTTTAAAAGCTTCCTCGCGCACCTTTTTGTAACCTTGCGCCCCTAGGCACGTTCCTAGTTTGCCTTAAGGATAATCCGCAACTCTTACAAATTATCACAAACACATTATAAATTATTAAAAATTCGATTCAGTTCGATTCGGCCAGTCTTAAACTTCAACATCACATTGAGTGGCTAGTTGTGCGTGCGCAAGGACCCATGCATTTCAAAAAGGAAGAAACTGACTCTACTCCTACGTCCGGACCTCTTCGATATTTATAAAATAAAATATTTTGACGTTACACGCTAAAAGGGTACACGGTACGTTTCAGCCGTAACTGTTTTCCTTTTTTCGTTAGATATACATGATGCGTCATCATTTTTATTTATAATTAAAGTAATACAACTTTATATAAAGTCATCTAAATAATCAAAGCAGTATGTAATGTATTAAAAAACTTGTCATGAATTACTGTAAATATAATATAAAACGTTTTTTTTTTCATATTCTTACATTGTCATCCGATTTTGAGCTATGATCAATATTTCAAGTTTCTAGCTCTTCGGGAAGTTAGTTTAAAATCAATTACTAAATTCAACCCCGAACCATATCTACTCTTTGCCCGAACAGACGTACACGAAATTATTAAAAAACACGGCAGCATGGTGTCGCACCGTACGTGGTATCATCATACTGTGATCTTACTATTACGTCTCGATATTTTTGGTTCAACAATTTCCCATATGATTATTTTGCTCTTTCACGGAAGCCGAAGCTGGCGGCGCTGAAAGTATCAAGGTATTCAATTCTTAAAATTCTATAAAAGATAATAAATTAAAAATCTCTTGTATCAACATAATTGTACAAATTCAGCCAAACAATGTTAAAATCTAGGTATTTTTGGTTTCAGTAACAGGGGGAAGTAGTCGCAGCAAATTTGTCCCCTATAGAGACTCGGCACTGACGTGGCTTTTGAAAGATTGTTTCACTGGAGGAGCAAATATATTTATTATAGCCAGTAAGTTATATACCTAATTGTGTTTAAAATTGCCGCATTTTTTGGTTTGGTTGTGAATCGTATACTAAATAAAACCCCACCTGTGAAGATTTTAGGTAAAAAGTTTCAGGTTTCAGCAATTTTAATGTGAGGTGAGGTAGGAAATGAAAAAAATTAAATGGAAAAAATTTAAAGCGTTTTTATATTTCTCAAATATTTTTTTTATAAATATACAAAGAAGCCTGCACTGAAAGGGAGAGAAAATATGATCGCATTATTGTATATGTCAGACAAGGTTAATAAAATAAGTCAACATATACATTCTTTTATTATAATAATGTCCTCCAGACCGAATTTCGGTCACGGCGGCCAGTCTCAATGGAGACTAACCATCGACGCAGGACAGCATTATAGTGCCCAAGTGTATGCGCAAGCACAGGTGCACTCTATTTCCTCACTCTCATAGTCCGATGGGACGGTAAACCGACACGACCGGAGAGAGATCAGGCGCAAGACCAACGGCTTAACGTGCTTTCCCAGGCACGGGGGTGAGACACCGCCAACTTCCTGACTCCGGGCAGGTACTGAGAATTTCTTGATAGAAAAACTCAATAACTGATTTTTTTGGCCCGACCCGGGATTCGAACCCGGGACCTCATGATCAGCAGTCGCACTACTACAACCACTAGACCAACGAAGTAGTCATTCATTCTTTTATTATAATGACGGCGTTATACTTTAAGAAAAGAATAGGTTACAATTAAGCTAATGACAATGATTTCACATAGCCTGTGGTGACATGTTATGTGAGAGAGCCGTGGTAGCTCAGGGGTCAGGGGCTTAGCGCTCGCTGTAAATTTCACAGCGTGGAAACTTCACAGTGAAGGAAAACACCGTGAGGATCTGAGAAATAAGAAAAAAAATATTTCCATCTGAAGTTCGCCAACACGCATTGGGGTAGAACCGCAGACGTTTCCTTGGCCTAAATAAAACCCTCTCAGGAATGAGAGGAGGCCTGTGCTCAGCTGTGGGACGTGTATAGGCTGTAACTTTACTTTACTTTATTATTTTGTGGTGACATAATTTAGTGTCCAAATATTATAGTAACGAGCATGTGGTAGATCAGCAATTAAAATTGCAACTACATTAATGCCGACAGGGGTCGAATGACTTGCGTACTGTTAAATTTACTTGGAATTAAAGCTTATTTGTCTTTTTTAAAGTTATAAAAGATAGACAAATTGATCCGCTAGAACAAGGGCATAGTACCGACAAATCCCTGTACCGAAAGTACCGGGAATTCTCGAGAATTTACTATGTTTAAATAATGATAATTTAGCTTATTATTTTATAAACAAAATAATATATGTAATATGTACAAACCTCTGTAGAGGCTCTATGTTGACGTAATCATCAGCACATTATTTTAAAAGAACATAGTAATTCTCGGATAATTTGTCACTCTTGGCGTGTAGAGGGGTTTAAGTGAATCCATAGCCACAAATCATCACTTATGTATCGTAAAAGACGTCAGAGGCAACTCTCTCTTGACCCAAGAGATAGGCAGCAGCACCTTTTTGAACTATCACAATTAAATAGCAATTGGTAAAATAAAAATTTAGTACAACCGACTTCAATATAAATTATTAAGGATAACTCAAAAACTACTGGTCAGAGCTTGATCCACATGAGAAGTCCCAGCTTTAAAATAAAAAAAGACTTCAAGATCGGTTCACGTAGAAAAAAGTTATACATAAAAAGAAAGAAAAAAATACAGTCAAATTGAGTACCTTCTCTTTGTTGAAGTCTGTTAAAATACTATCGTATACTCGTCGGTACTGTTGTATAGTAACCCGCTAGCCAAGAATGCCACTTATGGTAAATATGTCCTATGAATACAAATAGATTCCCCCCCCCCTCCCTTCTTTTTTTATAGAATAAAGGTGACAAGCGAGCACACAGTCCACCTGATGGTAAGTGGTTGCTGTGGCCCATAGACATCTACATCTATCCTCGATTACGAATCAAGATGCAGATGCCTTGTCACCCGTGAGGACCAAGATGGAATGCCTCGTTTCTCCGGTTCTCTACACTCACCATACGAAACACAGCAGCATTAAGCTGCTATTTTACGCTGGTATTCCGTGAGAGCGTGGTCCTTCCCCGGTCGGGCCTATCCATTCGTGCTACCACGTAAAAATTACACCTTAACATGGCGCTCTCACTATTCCTAGCTATGGTGACGACCAGCTACGACGACTTGATTATCCTTGACACTGGCAACTCGTTTTATCCCTACGGATTGTTTGAGCAAATCAACTTACTTGGAGGTGGGACATGTTGTCTGACTAGGAGTCCCTCTGAGGAAAACCAACCTTTTACCTATTTCTGCCACCAAACTGCTACATTCCGGTCTGAAGGATAGAGAGTCAGTATCATAAAAGACCGTGAGGCCTTTCATCTCAATACTCAGTAGTGACAATGCATCTGTAGCCTTCTCTGTTTGTAGTTGACTATTGTGGTACCTATGCATTAGCCACTCACCATCAAGTGGACTGTTAGTTTGCTTGTCATTTCAGTTTTATAAAAAAAAACTAGCTGACCCGGCATACGTTGGTTTGCCATAATATACATTAAAAATCGTGTTTAAAAACCGGGGTTGATCGTTGAAGGGTGAAAATTTTAAGTTTTATGTATTTTTCAATGCTAAATCATAATAAAATAAAAAGTAATTTTTTTTGTCAAAAAGTAAAAAAAAATATTTAGGGGTGGTACACCCTTATCATCTAGGGGTTTGAAAAATAGATGTTGGCCGATTCTCAGACCTACCTGATATGCACATAATATTTCATACAAATCGGTTCAGCCGTTTCGGAGGAGTTTGTTAACAAACACCGCGACACGAGAATTTTATATATTAGATGAACCTGACAGCTAAATTTTGAGTACGCTACGTTACAGTCCAGAGCTCTCACTCCATTCACTAGTTGCCGCCAGGTCACTAATAATCGCAGACACAGTGAGACGCTGCATATATGAGATACAAAGAAGTAATTTTTTGAGAGATTGTAATGGATTTATGAATAAACTAGCTGTTCCCCGCGACTTCGTCCGCGTGTAATTTAGGGTTTTAATTTTTTTTGCGCGGAACCGCAATTAGTTTTCTAAACTAAAAGTAGCCTGAGTTACTCCTTATAACATCAGTTATCTGCCAGTGAAAATCCCGTCAAAATCGGTCCAGCCACTACGGAGATTAGACGGAACAAACAGACAGACAAAAATTTTAATAATTGTGTTTTTGTTATATGTAACGTATATACTTTCATAAGTATTTAGAAAAAAGCTGTTATTTTGACATTACAAATAGACACTTGAATTTTATTTATTTGTATAGATATAGCAAAGCGAGGAGACAACACACTACCATGCAACTTGCAACTCCGGCTCGTAATTCACATTAAGATGAAAACTTATCTTCGTTGCGAATACGCTATCCTCGGTTTTAAAGATAACTTTCAAATCAGCCGACTACTGAATAAAATATGATTATAGATATGCATACGATACGATATGATACATACCAGCTAAAAATATTAGCCTTACTTTTGGGCGCCGCTGCAGTACGCTGCAGTATGGTAGTAAATATCTCGAGGTATCATGATGGTAAATAATAGATAGGGAGGAATTTAAGGTAAATTAGTCGATATACTGCCTTTATTGAATAAAAGTTAGAACGATAATGAAGAGTCAAATATTTTCAGTAATATTTAATTTGATAAAACTAACGTGAATTGGAGAAACCTGTATATATAATTAATCCAAAAAGGATAGTATTTAATGATCGCATATAACGTTATTTCGTAATTGACAGACAAGGTTAAAAAATAGTAGGTAAACACTATCATTAATCTTTGTAACGTCGCGTCGCCGTCAAACTATTACAATGAAACGAAACAGTAACTAATGGCATTGATTCACTATCGCATACACCATACAGTAATAACTGGAATAATTATCAAAAACCGGAACGGTTCTATACCGTTTTATACCGTTCATCCGATTACGTTGCGATCCGTACGAAAAAACGTCGAATATTTATTACAATAAAGAAGTTGCAAAGCATGTCGCTTTCAGCTAGTCTAAATTAAAAATAATACATATTAGGCTGTTTATAGGAATGGCAAAATCTTTTAATTATAATGCAACGCTAACAAAATATATTATATAAATAAATTTATTTTAATTGTGTACATGTAGTCTAAAATGAATTTATAGACAATTATGAGCTTAACTATTTCCAATACTACATTGAAATTCTTTATCTAATAGTCTTCAATATAATACTCAGTATGGTAGTACTAGATGTAATTAAACAATGTGAAAGTAACGTATCTGCAACGTAGACATAATATACGATATAGTATAAATTAGTATATAATATAAATATAATATAATATAAAATCACAAAAGGAACACGAACCGTGGTAGCTCAGATGGTTAGCGCTCGCTGTAAGTTTCACAGTACGCGAGAAACCCGTGTTCAATCCCTGCCGACACCAATGAAATTGTTAATTGCAATTTTAAGTGCTGATTTAAAACGTGCTCGGCGGTGAAGGAAAACATCGTGAGGAAACCTGCATGTCTGACAAATAAGAAAAAAAATATATTTCGAAGACATGTGAAGTTCGCCAACACGCATTGGGTCAGCGCGGCGGACTCTCAGAAATGAGAGGAGGCCTGTGCCCAGCAGTGGGACGTATATAGGCCGTAAATTTAACTAACTTTAGTATTTAATATATTTTTTGAAGTTTTTAGTTTCGAATATTGCTCAATGTAATAAAAACTATAACACCAATTAAAATAACTATATATATATAAATGTGATCATTTCATAAAAGTGTACACAGCTTTAAATCAGGGTGCTAATGTAAATGCTGCAAATATTGGTCAACACGTTATCTTGTCCTTATCTTTCACGGGCTCACCGCTTTTTTCTGGACGCCCCAGGAGGCACTGGGAAAACAATCTTCGCAAATTTGGTAATGCTTCTTCAGGAGTTGCCGCAACTCTATTAAAAGATGGGAAAACAGCACTTCTATTTCAAGCTACCATTGACAATATCTTTGGAACAGCTCTCAGTATGTTCCATACGTAAAACCGGACCGCTTGGCAAACTTTTACAAGATGTATCATTGATCATTTGGGATGAATGTACCATGAGTCATAGAGCTCATGTTGAAGCAGTAAACTGAACGCTCCAAGACCTCAGAAACTCAGATGCTGTCATGGGTGGTGCTACTTTTGTGTTTGCGGGCGATTTTTGGCAAACACTGCCTGTAATCACAAAAGTAACACGCGCCGATGCCTTCAGAGCACGCTTAAAATCATTTCCGTTAAACTCTCCATTTACGAACAAATATGAGAGCCCATTTGAGCGACAACTACGACAACGACTTTCGGCAACGACTACTCAAAATTGAAGAATGAAAAATTACCTCTCCTTGCACTAACAGTAGTGGCGCTAAAATTGAACTTGACAATAGATTGGGCCACATTGTTCATAGATTAGAACATCTAATAGACGCAGTATACACCGGTCTTGAAAATTTATTGGAAATAAATTATCACTGGCTTTGATTAAGGGCAATAGTGTCACCCAGAAACGATAGAGTGGATGAAATAATAAACTGATTTTACAGAAAATTCCCGGTCAAGTCAAACAGTATAAGTTAGTCGACACGGTGTGTAATATTGATTTTTTGATTGCCAATATCGTTCAAAAGGCTGGAGTTTCCAGTCAAAGTTTCATTTGCCCTCACGATAAATAAGTCCCAGGGTGAAACATTCTCTTTGGTGGACATTGACTTGAAAAGGGAGTGTTTTTCCCATGGCCAATTATATGTTGGCTTGTTTATTGGCAATTATAGTTGGAACTCCAGAAAACTAAAACATTTTGCTACCAGAGAATAACACAACATCAAACATAGTATACAGAGAAGTCTTAAACAATTGCTATACTTGTCCAATACATTTTAGAAATAAAATAAACATAAAATAAATCCCAAATACTCAGTACTAAGAACCACACAAGATAATTTCATCACAAGTAAAATCGTTATACGCCCAGTGAAGTGGGCACGGCTCAGCTAGTTAGTGGTTTTAATATATTTGTACACACTTTCGATGTTACCGCATAAGACTTATATCTTTTATAGGTATATATACTTGTAATAGATTAGTATATTACTGCAGTTATTACATTGTCAAATTTATATTTTTTAGATTAGGTAACTTCCAATTAAATCTGAAAGCACTGTGGCTCAAATCGGTTACATTAAAATATTACACTATATAATTAATTATTGTTTATTCATCTGTACATACAAATACAATTGAAGTGTCTGTTTGTAATTTTGAACTAATTGGATTCTTTTACGCTTAGGGGCTTATTTGCATAGTGTTTTAAGACATAAATAACCCTTTTTAAAATTGTCTGTCTGTCTGTACGAGCTAAGCTAAATCGAAGTTGCTGAACCGATTGTGATTAAACTTGATAGATGAACAGATAGAGAGCAATGCCAGGAGGGATCTAGGCTATATTTTATCCCAAAAACTCAAAGAATTAAAAATAAAATGATAACTGTGCTTTGATTTTGTTAAGCCTAAATAACATCATATTAATAGTCTCTATCCAGGCGAAGCCGGGGCGGGTTGCTAGTATACTATAAATTTGTTAGTCTCGAAGATTATTGTTGTTTAAAAAAATTCACAATATAATGTGTATATATTTATTTGAAGCAATTGTTTAAAAATAGTAAATGTTAATTTATTTTATTTATATTCCAGCTGTGGCACCAAGTGTTGCGTGTTACGGTGAATCAGCTTCTACACTTCGTTGGGCAGCTCAAGCTCGTCGCCTGCAGGCTCCAAAGACTACACCTGTGACAGGCGTGGTTTCTAAAAGTGCTCTTCAAGAACAGCTCAATCACTTACTATCTGAACTAGAAAAACACCACATAAGATATGTAATAAACAATTTATATGCAACATATTACTTTAACTTTCATTTTAAGTCGGTCACGTTAAGTCATGTGGTAATAATGTTAAATAACGAAACTATTATGTGTAGTATTCGAGAGTAGAAAAGACAAAGTATAAATATATGTAATTATACATAATATAGTAAATGTGGTTGTGATTTTTTGCAGATACCTGAAAGTGGAAAAATAACATATGACGACAAGCATTGGATGTTAGATGTAAAAGATAAAAGTATTGAATCTCGTTTATCAAATACAGCACCAAAAATAGGCAATATAATGAATAATATATTACATCCAAAACCTGAAATTGTAAATTTAGACTCGACGAATTCGTCAGTGCCCAGTAGAAGTTTGGATGATATTAATGTTATAGATAAAAATACAAAAATAGTTAACGAAATTAGAAAAGAAGTTGATAAATTAATTGGTCCAACTTTAGAAAGAACTAGAAGTGGCAGTGTTTTGGAAGTCACGACACCATTAAAACACAAAAAGAGACAATATGGTTCGCAAGAAGTGCTGCCTATTGAAAAGCCTTTGCATGGTGGAAATAATGAATCCTTTTCTGATATACCGCAAAATGCAAATGAAAAGTATTATGAAAAAGGTACCATTGCAACTATAAGTCAACCTATGCCAATTTTGTATAAAAACCAAAGAGCAGATATTGTTGCCTCTGTTACTGAAAGATTGTATTCGAAATTTAAAAAAGAAGGCACGGTTAACAAAACAGACTCTATGGTTGAGAAAAAAATCATGCAGCCTTTAAGCGAGTTGAAGATTTGCACTAATGCTCGCCAACGTTTTACGGAATTAAGTCAAAAAGCGATAAGGAACAAGAGAAGACTAGGTATACCAGCCCACACACAAACAAGGAAGACAGTGATACGAGTTAAAGATCGAGGAATCGATGTTCAAACGGATCTAGAACCGTTTATTAAACAAAAAGATAATATAGTAGTGCTATATCGGGACGTTAGTACTGAAACAATTCCTATGACACCCAGGTATAAAGAAGTCGCAGTAGGTGATGGTTTTTTAAGTTATCATGATAAGTCCACAACTATGGAGTTTAAGAAAATATTTAAGAAAAGTACTAGCGTAATGACCGATGTTAAATCAGAAAGAACTATTTGCACCCAAACTCAAGTGAGTCCTACTCCAAGAAGAAGGAAAAAGTCTCTTACAGACTCAAAACCACATTATCAAAATGATTACAAACAAAAATGTGTAGAAAATTCTTTAGCCTCTTCGATTATTAATATAAAAATATCACCTATGTATTCGTTGGATTCTGATTCACTGAGTTCTAGTGAAAGTTCAGAAATCAGGTTTGACGAAAATGGAACTTTAAAAACTCATGGTGTCTTTACAAACCATAATGGTAATAACACTTCAACAGAACATCAACAAAGAATTTTAGAACTAAGTAAAGAAGAAAACTCCGAAAAGCATAAGGAGATAACTGCATTACCAGAATTAGTCAATAAAATTTATAAAGATTTCTCAGATGATGAGGCTTATCCTTTACCTCGTGTTACTGCAGATCCCACAAACAAAGTTGATTCTGACGATATTAGAAATATGATTTTGGGACACAATAAAAATGAATATCCATATAACGTAGTTTTATCTCCAATAAAGAATAAACAACGGATAGAAAAAACCATAAAATTTAAAGACACAGGAAGTAAAGAGGACGCAAAAACAAATGATATGTATTCAGATAACAAAAATTCTAAAAAAGAATATAGCTGTAAAAATGATTATTCAGACGCCTTTTCGGATGGTTCAGATTCATCCAAATTAGAGACAGCTTCCTTTGTTTGGAATACGGGAAATATGAATAAATATGACATAACACCAATCCATCCTGGCAAATCTTGCGACCATTTGCTGAAAAATAAATCAAAGTATAAAAATGCTAAGGCCAAAGATTTTCTTTACATGGATAACGACGTTACTTTGGACTATGAGTCCAACAGTTCATCGACAGATTGTTGCAAAAGTAATAGAAATATTCCTTTCATAAAGGAATATAATACATCTTGTAAATGTGGAATGAAAACAACGACACATGAAAGTGATTGCTATGAATGTATTGAAAATAAAATGGAACAGACTTGTAAACACTTAGAAAAAGTGGCTAGTCGATATGAAGATTATTTGGCGAATTATTGTAGAGATAACCAAAACGACAACATACGAAGTCCCACGGAATATTTACAATATTTAGTGCAGTTAAGAAGGAAAGTTGTGAAAGAATCTCTTAGTACATGTAGTACAGGAACAATATCGTCCGATTAGTATGTTGTTTCTGTATTAGTATGATTTTTTTTAACTATACATAAGTCAATAGTCATGTTTATTTTCTCTTTTATACTATAATTGAGTGTGTATGAAATGATGAATCTTATCATCATTAACATTTTTGTATGAATTTTTAGCATCTATTTTGATTTTCATAAAAGTGCTTAGAAGTGTCAAGAAATAGCGTTTTATTTGTTGGAACATAATATTAATTAATTTCTATTTTTAATAAAGTTTGTAGTAAACTAGTAAAGTAGTTCCGTGTATCTTCATTTATCCTTTCACTTAGTAAATAAAATATGATAAAAATAAATATATCTATCTAACTATAGATACATCTTTATCGTACACCAAAACAAATAAGATTTTTAGTGTCACAATGGGCCGTCTTATCGCCAAAAGCGATTTCTTCTAGACAGCCTTTGGATAAACAGGACCGCAAAAAGCAAAAAATTGTGTTATAAGTATATATACATAAAAATACGAATATATACTTATAAAAGCGACGAACTCAAATATTAAGATAGTGATTGTATACATGCTTCTGAAAAACAGATAAAGACTGATTGATATGGAACTGCAAAGAGGTTAAATAAGATACAATAAAATAAAATAGAAAGTAAACATTATTCAATTTTAATGTACCTAAGTGAGTTTCGAATTATGTATAGTAAATGTATTTCTGTCTTTATACAAAATTTGCGAATGGTAAAAAAATTTTAAAAAAATTTGGGGGATGAAGCTGCTCGTACTGCTGTCATATATGGGCTGGTGCTGCAAAAAGCCACCTGACAGCGTTGGACTTAGTGGACAGACGAACAAAAAGGCTTATTGGTAACCTTGATTTGGTTTAACATAATCTTGTCAACCTCGAGCACAGGCGCAGAGTAGCCAGCCTCTCGGTATTCTATAGGATGCATTTCGGTGAGTGTGCGCAGGAATTACACGCTTTAATTCCTCCCTCTCCTTTTCACCATCGTACAATGAGGCGATCGGCGGGTCTTCACCACTTTGTTGTCGATATTCCACGCATTACAACCAAACGGCTTGCTTCGTCTTTTGTAATGTGTACAGCAAAGGAGTGAAATAATTTGCCGGCGTCTACTTTCCGTCCGAATACAATCTGGGCGTCTTCAAGGCAAGAGAGAGAATAGGCTTTTGTTACGCTAAGATAGTGCGATTAACCATATAAGGCTACACTCACCACTTACCACTAGGTGGGATTGTGATCAAGCACTAGCTTATAATAAGTTAAAAAAAATCAAGCATTCTGTACTTTTTATTTTTTAAATTCAGATTGTGTGCGATCTCTCTCCGGTCGTGTCGGATTGCCATCCCATCGTGATGGAACACATAAAACCAGCGTAAAATAGCCACTTAACGTTGCTGTGTTTCGTATGGTGAGTGTAGAGAACCGGAGATCCTTTTTACTGGCAAGGAAGCATTCCATCTTAGTCCTCACGGGTGATAACGCATCTGCATTTTGATTCATATTCGAGGATAGATGTAGATGTCTATGGGTCACAGTAACCACTTACCATCAGGTGGACTGTGTGCTCGTTTGTCATTCGGTTGTAATTCGGTTTAGAGGACTTTGTTTTGTTATAATCTAGTCTAGTATGATGGATATCCTTTTTATTGAAGTTATTACAAGATTTGGCTATTTTACGAGTACAATTGTAAATAGATTCCGAAATTTTTATTTTTACGAAAAGTGCAGTGCCCAGACTGGTTTGTGACGAGAGTAGCGGGAACATATTGTATACAATAAAAAATCATATTTCTGTTATAACTTTGAAATTGCGTTTTTTTAAACTGAGCGTCATGTTAAAGTAACTTGCTTAAAAGGGAAAAGTCTTTTCATAAATTGTAAAAGTAAAGGAGATACAAATTTAGTGTATTTTTAAGTGTAAACAGTAGGGTCACCTTTAATTCATACTGCAAGCAAATTTTAAAGCAATGTGAATGTTGTTTTCAAGCAAGATAAATGTTATATTTGTCTAAACATTGCTCGTACTTGACCGATTTAAATAGCCGTTCGGTAAGCTACTTGTAAGATTATGTCGTAATACAAGTTTATGTCAATCCCTTTTGCATATTTCTTTAATTAAATCTTTTATTGATAGTATCTATTTAAACCTTTACAAAGTGTGAAAAATAGAGATCGCTTTAAGGTTATTTAAAATTTATAATGATATTTTGGATGTTTTAGTTACGACCTTAACTGACTGCATTTTGGAATGGACGGTCGTTTCTTGCACTGTGTTGCCTTTATACATCAGTAGTTGTTGGAACTGGCTCGTGTGAGTAAAATTTTAAATCGCGCGAAATTATTGCTGTAACTGCAGTTAGTGAGGTGAAGTGAAAAAAGTTAAAAATGAATTTATTAATTTTAAAACTGTTGACAAAGGAATTTATAGCTTTATTTGTAACAATATTAATCTTGCTTTATTTGTGGTTTAAATATCAGTATTTGTATTGGATTAAAAAGGGTGTTTTTGCACCCCAACCAGTGGTACCTTTTGGTAACGTGAGGAATGTGATTACACGGAAGACGCAGTTTTTCCAACCTTACTGTGATAATTATTTCAAATATAAACATTTGCCGTATATCGGCATGTATTTCTTTCATCGGCCGGTGTTGAGTATACATGATCCAGATATAATAAAACATATACTGATTAAGGACTTCGATCATTTTCAATCGCATGGTATATTTTCTGGAGGCGTTGGTGACCCACTAGCGGGGCATTTGTTCAACCAGCATGGGGACACTTGGAAACGTTTACGATTGAAGGTGTCGCCTTCCTTTTCTAACAACAAGTTTAAAACCATGTACCCGTTAGTGGAGAAAATAGCAGATGAAGCTTTAGCTTACGCAGACCTATTGCATTCTAACGGCGAAGCGATAAATTTTTCAAAGTTCTACGAAAAGTATACGATGGAGATTATAGGTAGTGTTGGGTTTGGAGTTGAATGCAACAGTTTCAAAAATGAGAAATCCGAGTTCTGTGTTCGTGGACAGGAATATTTCGATCCGCAGTCATTGTATTGGTAAGTTAATATCGTTCTTGACGACAAACTTCTATTTTGTTATACGATTAGCGTGATAAACGAGCATACAGTCCACCTGATGGTAAGTGGATGCTGTGGCCCATAGACATCTATCATCAAAATGCAGATGCGTTGTCACTCGTGAGGACTAAGATGGAATGCCTTATTTCCAGTAATTATATTCTTCTATAATTTAAAAAATATGTTGCGAGTACCCGTAGAGTAACCAACGGGACCCTAGTACTAGGCCTCCGCAGTCCGTCTGTCTGTCAGCGGGCTGTATCTCGGGATCCATAATAGGTTAACAGTTGTAATTTTCAGTGTGTATTTCTGTTGCCGCTATAACAACAAATAATAAAAATAACAATAAATTGCAAATTAAAGAGGGTTTTCTTTTACCTAAATTAAATCTTGTACGATTGTACGGAACCCTACAGGTGCGAGGCCGCCTCGAACTTAGCTTTTTTTTTAATATACTATGCTTTTTTGGAGCCGTGGTGGCTCACCAGACTACTGAGCATAGAGAATAATATAACAGGAATGATGGACGCTCGCATTAAATTATAACATAGCATCTAACATAGCATCTAGTATCACTAAAATTATAAATCACATATTTAATTGATTCGCCACGTGTTAGGTGGTGAAGGTAAACATCATGAGGAAATCTGAATATGGGAAATAAAAAAAATGATCTACAAAAAAAATACATGATCTTGAATGTAGATTTATTTATTTGTACTTTATTCACCATAAAATATATATTCTATACCAGTCAATCTTTGAAATCTACAAAAAGCTCAAAAATATATTGTTTTTATTAAGACGATGAGCTATTTACTATCGATGGTTTCATTATTGATTACCACCAGGAGACATAAAAAACATAAAATATGCATTCTATACCAGTCAATCTTTGTACTCGGTAAAAAAACTCAAAAGTACATCCTTTTCTATTTATTATGAGCCAGTGCCACCTACCACCTGGTGGTAAGCGATGATGAAACCTTAGGTAGTATCGCACTGTCTTAGCGTAACAATTGCCTATTCAGCGCGGCTAAGTGTTTGTTGCGACTCTGCGAGTCGCTGGCTCGTATGTAGGATATATGACATAATATACACACCGGCACAATTAGCGGAACAGAAAAAAAAGTGAGACTATGAGATAATAACGCATATATTTGACGAAAATGTAATTAGACACAAAATAACAAATTGATTAACATCTTTTAACAACGACTTTGAAAAGTCTTCGTTATTTTTTATTGAAAAATAAAGAAATTTGAAATTTTTAGATGATTATGAACCATCACAAAAAATAAAAAAAAGTAAGCATTAAATGAATTAACAATAAAATTAAAGCAAAATTAATGACGAGTGTTTCCCCCTCTTGCTCTGATTACGGTTTCCATTCGTCTGGGCATGCTACAGATTATGTTATTGATGATTTCTTGAGGCAACCACTCCCACTCCTCAAGCAATGCGTTTCCAAGTTCATTCAGATTGTTGGGGGGTGGCATTTTGGATTTAACCCTTCTTTTTAGCAAGTCCCAGACATGCTCTATTGGATTCATATGGGGGAATTTGCTGGCTACTGCATCACCGGTATACCTACGTGGCTCAGATATGCCTGTACCGATTGTGCACTATGAGCACGAGCATTATCTTGCATTAGAATAAAGTCGTCACCAATAAATGCGGCAAATGGTACAACATGTTCTTCTAAAATGTCTCTGATGTATCGATCTGCTGTCATGGTCCCTCCTGTGACTATCACTAACTCCGTGCGAGCTCCCAAACATATCCCTCCCCAAACCATAATCGAGCCGCCACCATAAGCCACTGTGTGTTCAAAATTAGACTGTATGTGGCGTTCTCCTTTGCGTCTCCATATTCGCTGTCTCCCATCGATCTGTTTTAAAAGAGCTCTGCACTCATCAGTAAAGAGAACCTGCTGCCATTCGTTCAAATCCCAATGATGATGTTCTTGCGCATAGCTTAATCGGTTTACGCGGTGACGTCTCTCAAGTTTTGGGCCTTTGGCAGGTATATACGACCCTAAACCAACTTCTTCAAATCTCCTGCGAACTGTACGCTCACTTACGCGTACTCCTCGAACGTCTTCCAGTTCATTTCGAGCTTGTACAGCCGTTAATCGCGTATTCCTACGAACTCCAAGTTGTAAAAAACTGTCATCTCGCCTCGATGTACATCTTTTTCTACCTTGACCCCTCCTCCTCACAAGAGAATTAGACGATGAATCGTTGATACTGGTCGACGAAGCCTTGAGGCAATCGATCTGTAGGTATGGCCATTTCTTCTCATTTCATCAGCCCTAATGATTTCCAGTGATGTTACGTCAGGCATAATAAAGAGCTTTTAATAAACAAAATTGCCTATAGAATAACAAATTTATAAAAAATCATTAAGTGCAATTTTTCAAAAAAATTACAATTACGTAGTTATTACTCGAACAAGTTGACAAAACGTATTGTTCGGGAAAATAAAACAAATGAATGAAAAAAGTGAATGTCATCTAATTTTCTATTTTCAAATTTGACAATAAATTAAAAAAATATCATAACTGGCCAGTTCCTCAAGTAAAAGATTTTAAAATCCTGCTTTTTTTGTGTTCCGCTAATTGTGCCGCTGTGTTTATTTATAACATATGGTCTACAAATAATCTTTCTGAACTAGGTTTGCAGTTTTGCAAATGTTTCCAAACCCGTAGATTGGTATAAAAATTCCGTAAAATTTCGTAGATGTTATTTCAAAATATGAGACTGTGGACTGTCTGTAGATTTCTAAAGAGGATCGAAATTTTTTGTTTTTGTCATAGATCAATTCTTTGGAGAAAATTTTTCTGTCATGTAAAATTCTTGTTGTAAGTTCAATTGCAGTATAAAATCTAAGCAAGCTACACATACAAGAAAAAAGTGCCATAAAAATTGACTAAAATTCATTGTTTTCATTTAATTAAATTATTTTTAGTAAAAAACAAATAAAATAATTAACAATTAAATATTTGTGGATAGTTATACTAAAAAAAATTACGTTGCAAAATTGATGGTGAAAAATTTTGAACCAATAATTAGACGAATGAAAAACAACGGAAAATCTTCACTCAAATTAACATAAATATTTTTGACGTGACAACGTCTTCTAATTCGATGAAGCTGCCTCTGCGTTCGGCAGCGTTCGACATCTGTCTCTCTCCTACTTGAGTGAGCGATGCGTCCGCTTGGATAGCTGCTATACAATAATACATTTACATGTTTTCGTCTAGTTCTGCAAGACCCGCCGCAGAAGAACACAAAAACTCTCCGATCACACTCTTAATCTCATGGCTGTTAGACGGGAGATGAAGCTACATTCTTCAACAGACTTGACAGCATACAGGCATCTGAACAGACAGATCTCCAAATGCATGCGGCGGGGCTTACGCAACTTCAATACAGCTCGTATTGAAGAAGCGATCGAGCGGAACCAAGGCTCCAAAGTCTTTGCCAGAGATCTGTCTGCCAGAAAGAGCCAACTGTCAAAGCTGAAGACAGAATGTGGCAGCATCGTTTCCGGGACACCTGAGATTTTGAGTGAGATTGAGAGGTTCTATGGGCAGTTGTACACGTCATCGTTGGAGCCACACGCAAGTGTGAGTAACGATCCAAGAGCGAGTCTCATCCGACACTATTCCGAAGATATCCCGGACGTCAGTCTGAGCGAGATTAGAATGGCTCTCCAGCACCTTAAAAACGGTAAGGCCCCAGGCGAGGATGGAATTACAGCGGAGCTTCTGAAAGCGGGTGGAAAACCGGTACTTGAAGTCCTTCAGAAGCTCTTTAATTCCGTCCTCCATGGTGGCATTACACCGGAGGCGTGGAGCAGAAGTGCGGTTGTTTTGTTCTTCAAGAAAGGTGACAACGCTCTCTTGAAGAACTACAGACCGATTTCCCTTCTGAGCCGCGTCTACGTGCTGTTTTCGAGAGTCATTACGAATCGTCTTGCGGGCAGACTTGACGACTTCCAGCCTCCCGAACAAGCCGGTTTCCGAAAGGGCTTTAGCACCATAGACCACATACATACCCTTCGGCAAATTGTACAGAAGTCCGAAGAGTACAATTTGCCACTATGTCTGGCGTATGTGGACTATGAGAAAGCCTTCGATTCCGTCGAAATTTGGGCGGTGCTGCAGTCCCTTCAGCGGTGCCAAGTTGACTGTCGGTATATCGAAGTGTTGAAGTGCTTGTACAGTAGGGCTACGATGGCTATCCGAGTACAGAACCAGAGTACGAAACCTATCTAATTGCAGAGAGGTGTAAGACAGGGTGACGTCATATCCCCGAAACTCTTCACCGCTGTATTGGAAGACGTTTTCAAGCTTCTGGACTGGAAAGGATACGGTATCAACATCAATGGCGAGTACATCACTCACCTTCGATTTGCCGACGATATAGTCCTTAAGGCAGAATCGCTGGAGGACCTAAGCACTATGCTCAATGACCTCAATAGTGTTTCCCAACGGATACGTCTTAAGATGAACATGGACAAAACTAAGATCATGTTTAATGTCCATGTCACACCTATGCCGGTAGTTGTTGGGAACACTAAGCTCGAAGTTGTTGACGAGTATGTTTACCTGGGACAAATAGTCCGACTAGGTAAGTCCAACTTCGACCGAGAGGTCAATCGACGGATTCAACTCGGTTGGGCAGCGTTCGGGAAATTACGGCACATCTTCTCGTCAGATATACTTCAAACCTTGAAAACGAGACTGTACACCCAGTGCGTGTTGCCAGTGATGACATACGGAACTGAGACGTGGTCCTTCACTACTGGCCGGATGAGGAAGCTCAAGGTCGCTCAGCGAGCTATGGAGAGGGCTATGCTCGGAGTTTCTCTGCGTGATAAACTTAGGAATGAGGATATCCGCAGTAGAACCAGAGTAACCGACATAGCCCAACGGATTAGTAAGCTGAAGTGGCAATGGGCCGGCCATATAG